TCGCCTCTCTCTTTCTCCTAAGACTAGTCACGGAAGTGTCGCTCCAAGCGCACCGGCCTTGGGAATGGCAACCACACCGACTACGCCGAAGCCCTTTTTGGTGCTCAGCGACAGCACCTTGCAACATTTGCTATGGCAGGGGGCCAATGGCCAGTCATACGGTATCATTGACATTGACCAGGGTGCAATGCACGGCTATGTCATCTCCTGCCCGGGTACGACCCTCACAACTGAGTACACGGGTGAGCAACCACCCAACCCTGCAGTGTTGGAGGTGCTGGCCTGGCAATTCATCCGCGTGAGTGCACCGCGGCAATCGCCCGCTATGTGCTGAGCCCGCTCGCACAGCGTTCAATTGAAATAGTAGTAGTAGTAGTAGTAGTAGTAGTAGTAGTAGTAGTAGTAGTAGTAGGTTAGTAGTAGTAGTAGGTTAGTAGTAGTAGTAGGTTAGTAGTAGTAGTAGTAGTAGTAGTAGTAGTAGTAGTAGTAGTAGTAGTCGTTGTTCGTTGTAGTGGTAGTAGTAGGAAGTAGTAGTAATAGTAGAAGTAGTAGTAGTAGTAGTAGTAGTAGTAGTAGTAGTAGTAGTAGTAGTAGTAGTAGTAGCTATATAGTAACAAAGTTACCACACATAAGCATAAGCCCGCACCCGCTTTTAGTGTTGACATTGGCGCAAGATTCTGTCATTGGAACCCACGGCACTTCCGAGGGTTTCTGAAGGGATCCGTGGCTGCAATCTATGGAGAATAGTGTGGCCACGAACAGAACGCACCTGGGTGCGACCTCTGTTATCCTGGCTGTTTCAAAGACCAAAACCATGTTTCTGAACCGTGGCTGCAAAATATGAAGAATAATGTGGGCACGAACAGAACGCACCTGGGTGCGACCTGTTATTCTTGGCCGTTTAAGCCACCAAAACCATGTTTCTGAACCGTGGCTACAAAGTTTGGAGAATACTCTTGTGATGTTGCCACCAAAAACCTGTGTCCGAGCACTTCAAAAGAGGTTGCTGCTGCAAAAAAACTTCAAAGATTCTGCTGTCATTGAAGTTGAACAGTCAAGTTTCCAAACTCTACATGTGACCTTCTGCGCTCTAGTTTTCTATAAACTTTACAATTATACAAAAAAAGACAGAAAAAGAACCGCTATAGAGAAGTCAGACTGAGCTTGTCGATCCCGACCATAGCCTGTCTGTCCGGCCTATACCCGATAACGCCAATCAGGGACCAACAACTGCGAAGTATTGAAAATTGCCTCCTCTTGCGTATGTCCTTCCAAACGATGGCTGCGGCGGGCGACGGCTGTGCCTGGTGGTGGTAGCCATCGCCGCCGTGACGGCTGCGGGCGACAGCTGGGCGGATGCGGGTGCGGGCGGCTCTGGCCGCGCGATGGCTCCGCTGGGCTGCAGGCGGCCGCCGCCCTGCAGCCAGGCACAGCCGTCGAGCAGCCGCTGCAGCAGCCCTCTCACAGTCGCAGCCGCTGTCGTAGTCGTCGCCGCAGTCGCCGCCACAGCCGGCGCGAGCCACCGCCGTAGCCCGCCCAAAAAGCCACAGAAATTGTAGAAACTTCACAGAACCCCACAGAACCCAGTTATGAGCACGCTGTGCCATTACCTCGCGTCTGCTTGCAACAATTGCCTCTGCAGTTTTTCTCAGTTGCCAGACCCAGAGTTTGGCAGGTTCGGGTGGTCTCGTAGATAAATCGCTGAAGCTCCAGTCGCCACCGCCGCCGCTGCAGCCACAGCCCAACCGTCGCCTCCGCACGCCACCGCAGCCGTCACCCCCCAGCGGCTGCGGCTGCAAAGTGGAGTCTTCGCGCCTGGAAAAACTGAAACAACAAGTGTGCTTTGCGCGCCATTATCAGCTAGTTCATGCCGTCATTGCGTGCAAACAAGAAGGCCTCGGCAGGAAAGATATCATCATCGCACATCTGCCAGTGCCAGTTCTTCGCGAGACTGCGTCTGCGATTTTTCCGAAATCTTCCGCACGCTGAAACTTACGCGGATATCTGGCTGTCTTAATCTTCTCAATCTCCTCGCGTGCATGTGCTTCGGCTCGCAGGCGTGCCAACTTCATTCTTTCAACCTGTAGCTCCACCCCTTCTTCGCCAATCGTTGTCAATGTTGTTGGATTTCTATTACTTGGATTGCTGGGCGACACGGTCGTCAAAGCACTGGCATCGCTTTCGCTTTTGTTTGCGGGCACGAGCATGGTCTTCCAGCTGACGCAAGTAAGGCTCTCTCGCAGAATGCCCAGGTACCCCACCGCCTGAACTGCCGCTGCTACTGGTCAACGGGTCCTGTTGCTTCGGGGCCAGCTGCTGCAAGAACAGAGTCTGTCTGGCCACCATGCGGGCATTGAACCGGGTCCACGGCATTCATCGTCAGGTCCTCGCTATATTGGAAAGCGGAAGCATTCGCCTTGCCCGTGAAATGCCCGCTCGGCCTCGGGTTCCAAGGCCTGTCTGTCGAGTTCCTGGGCCGTGAAGCAGTCGAGCAAGGCATCGTCCTCGTCCAGCTCGCTGAGCCAAGTGGTGAAGCCTAAGTGACGAAGCCTCCACGGCTTCAGGCAGCACTGTAGTGAGTTGAAAGAGGTGACGTGCCCTTGCTTGGTTCAACCGAATGCCACCTGCTCTCCTGAAGCTGAAGCCAAGGAGGGGTGACCACGGCAAGTCTGCGAAGATAGTCTGCGCTTGACCCATTGGCCTCCGGCGGGTAGTTTCGACTGGGATCTTCCGCTAGGCTGTGAAGGCCACGGGTTCGCCGTCGTCGCCCAAGAATCAGAAACGTTGCAGAGCAGAGGTCACATGAGCATCGGCGGGGCAATCTATAGCAATGCCACCGTGCGAATGCGAAAAGACAAAAGCGGCCGTCTCGCCCGTGAGCAGCAAGGCAGAGGAAAAGTGGGGCTTGGGAGAGCGGTTCTGCCCGGAGTCGATCTCGCACGCCGTTGCAAGCAATGTTCACAGAACAAAGGAACACAGGTAGCTGCCAGTTGCCATGGCTCGAAGTCGCACAGAACCTAATTTCTTGAAGGACTTGTGGCGACAGGGTAAACCACAATCAGGCAGCAGTGTTCTTGAAGATTCATAGTCATGCTTGTTTCTGCAAACCAAAATTCCCAAGCCCTGATGCCGCTCAAGAAGTGGATTTAGCCGGGTAGCAAATTAAAATCGCGGCGGACAAGCACAAAAACGAGGTCACGCCGCGAAGCGGAAGGGGTCCAGGTTTTTTTGGTATTTGTTCTTTTTTTTTGTATTTTTTATGGTTTTCTGTGTCTGGATTGTAGAAAACCCTGTAATGGTCACACGGAGGGGCCTGATTTTGGATTTGATTGCATTTTTTATCGTTTTCTGGGCCTGGATTGTCGAGAACTTGCACCGTGTATGATGGATCTGGAACACTCGAAACTTTCAAAAAGAAACATGTGATTGACGCAATGCCTTCTTGACAAGCCTTGCACGGCAAAAAAAAGAAAGCGGGCGGTTGGGGGGTGGCGCAGCCCCCCCCAGTTGCAAACCCAATGTATGTATGCATCACGTTCATATGGACTCTGTTTTTTCTGGCAGAATGATGTTTGAGGCGAGCTTGCGCGGTTCGACGAAGCGGGGACCCCCCCGAGTGCGGCTTAAACCGGGTTTATTTGCAAGCTGGCTTTTGTGTATTAGTGTGGAAAACCCCTCTAAATCCCTCTTATATACACAAGAGGCAGCTTCCAAATAAACCCTATTTGGGTTTCCGGGGGGGGGGGTCGGGGCCTGGAATTAAATCATGTAAATAATGTACATCCTGGGGAGGGGGTCCCGGGGGGTCCGGGACCCCAGGAATTAAATTATTTGAATAATGTAAATATAGGGAGAGGGCCCCGGGTTTAATGTATTTTAGACTATGTAATTCGGGTGCCCCCAGGCCCCCCTCCCGGAACCCCTCCCCATGATTTAAATTATTTAAACAATTTAAACTATATAAATTAAGTAAATTAATTACTTCGAGCCGGGAATTCAATAACTTAAATAATTTAAACCCGGTGCCCTCCCTCAATGTTTAAATTGTTTTAAAATATTTGATTCGGGCCGGGAAATAAATAATTTGAAAAATTTAGATCCTGGTGGTCCATGAATTACTATTGGGAAAGGGCCCCGGGTGTAAATTATTTAAATTATGTACTTCTGGGGCCCCCAGCCAACATGTCCCATCCTCGAAATACCCACAGCATCTAAAGTGTGCTGCTGTGACATGCTGCGACGAGGCCTCCTCGCCAGCATTACTCGGTGCCTGGTGGCGACATCCGGACAGCTGCAAAACAAATAGACTACGCTCATGCTTTGCAGCCAGTTTGCCTCGCCCTGCTCGTGTGCACCGACGGCAATCCTGCCTGGCAAGAGATGTGCTGCTGATTCGTTTCCTTTGGAGCTGCTGGTCGCCAGTTTCAAACAACAATCACTACGCACCACGAGTTTGGCTGCTTCTGCTGGATCGCAAGGCATGAAACCCAAGTGCGATGACGCATGCAAGAAACAAGGCCTGCATCTGCCGCATCCTGCAAAGCGTCCTCACATGGCAGCTATGCCGAAACTATTTGCGGCGCGACAAAGGCGTGATGTCCTCGACCACCTCCGCTGGTGAGACCTCTCCATAAGGCAAGTAGATTGGAATGGTGACACCGCCTGGCCGCCTGGGCCGCCTGGGCCGCCTCCGCCTGTACAGGTTCTAGTCGAGATTCCAAGCTCAGGAGCCGCCGGTCCTCACACGGGACACCATGACACCATGTCAGCCTTCAGCCTCAAGCCCTGAGCTTCCGTCCGTCCTGGGAATGTAAGGCTCCTTGCATTTCTGGCAGCTCCCTTTGCCTCACAGACGGGTGACGGTAGTCACCACACCACAAGGCGCTCCTGTGCTGCAGAGCAGCAGATGCCAAAGAGCAGCTTCCAACTGCGACCTGGCACTTTAGATGCCACTGGCCACTGTCTCGCGAATTGACACCCAGGCACCAGGCACGCGTTTTTCAGCCATCGACGGGCGAAGCTCCTTCATTCAACAACTGCCAGAAGGGCTTCTTGAAGAGCATGCAGTTCGGATAAGCAGGGCTCCTCAGCAGGCTCACACGGACGGCCTCACGAGGCACAATGACGGCGCTCAGATTACGCAACATTCCCCCGGTGCCTTCGTCTGTGTGGCCCCCCTCCTCTCGCGCCAGGTTGAGTCCATATGTTCTGACAACTCCGAGTTGACACTTTGCCTCGACAATGAAATCTGGTGCATGCCTTGCCTGGCGTAAGATCAGACGAAAAACGATGGAGCTGGTGTGCGCGACGCAGCATGCCTGCAGAACGTCCTGCCCGTGTGGTCCTGTCTCCAAGTCTGCGAGGCGCCGATCCTCACGAAACCGGGATCGGTAAAGGCGCGAAGATGCCAAGTGACAGCAACCTGCGAGCCATTGCGAGCCTGCGCGTGCACGGCCAGCTGCACCTCCGGAAGCTCCATGCTTTGCCTCAAAGCGTCAGTGGGACCAAGACTCAGACTCAGACTGCCTGTCGCCTTGCTGAGCCGGGATACAGAGACCAGACTGCAACCTCCAGTTGCGACCTGGGAGTGCATGTAATGTTTGGCAGTGGAGCAGAGATGGAGGCATTGAGCGCTGTGAACCAGCTGGCATGATCGCGGCAGGAATTGCAAAATATGAGAGGGCGTGATGCTGAAACACTGTATGGGTTGTCTATGCGACTCTGGAGGCTGCACATTGGAAAGCTTGCACCTGCGGCTGCGATCCAGACTTATCATGGAAGGTACAGAGTTTCAAGCTGGTCGTGGACTTTGCCAACTCAGGCTTTACGACTCACGTCACACTGGCTTCTCCATCTGCAAGATATCCAGGCACAAGGCAAGCGCTGCTCGGCGACGAGGCTGCGGAGCTCCTGCGGAAGCCCTACATCACCCTAAGGCCCGGGTCCCGAGATCGCGACCCCACAGCACCTCGCCACCGAGGCTGCGCGGCGAGAGCCTCGAAAGGTGAAAGAGACTCTGCTCTAAGACTCCGATGGCTTTGGGCCGGCCTGCCGTCCTCGAAGATCTCCGTGACGTCCCGTCGCAGCTCCTGGCCCAACCCCCTCCCCGAGCCCCAAGCCGCCCAAGCCGCCCAAGCCGCCAAAGCGCCCCTCACCTGCAAGAGCCCGGCCACTCGTTGAGAAGCAGCTTCCGCGTTGATCGCACGCTCCTTCTGGAGTCGGCTTTCACAAGCACTTCTAATCAGCATCACAAGACCTGGAGACATCCCAAACCGATCCAAGCGAGAACGATGCAAGAATGGCTTCCTGAGGTGGCAGTTTTGGCCCTACGACGCAAGAAGCGCTGAAGCGCGCCAGGCACATGAAGAGCGCAAAGCGTCGAAACTTGGACTTGAACAGGTTGTCGTGGCTCGGGTTCAACCGCAGTGTCTGAGCAGCCTTACTCCGCCTCAATAAACATCCTTAACCTGTCAAGTCTTCCGTGAAACCGAATTCGTGAGACGCGGTGAGACTGGACCGGTGATCTCAGTAGCCAAGGCCAGTTTCCTGGAACTTGTTGTTTCGAACCAGCTGCAGAACACCATCACTGTTCTGCCGTACCTGCCACGAATCGAAGCTTGACAGCGTCTGCTCGGCCTGCAAGGGGGTTACCTGCCTCGTCCAAGCCCTGCGTCAGCTCAACGAGGTGCTCGAAGAGCACCGCTGTGCACTCGATGACACCCGTCAGCTGCACACGGAACTGGTTCCTGCGACGCGGTCAAGGCCTTATGCAGCTACTGTACTCTTTCCACTGTACTCTCTTCAGGAAGCCTCAAGTCCAGGATGGCACTGCTCATCTGCTCGGCGACCTGTGAGATTTCAGGCACCTGAAACGATCCAGCCGGGTGCGCTCCAACGCTTGCGTAGCAAATATCACAGTCTGCGCACACACATACACACACACAAACACACACACACACACACACACACACACACACACACACACACACACTCCGGCACATCGTCGTCCAATTTGACACGCCTCGCCCGAGTCAAGCCGAACGCAGGACGGTCATGTGCCGTATTTGCAGGGGGCTTACGACCTGCCGATGCCTTTCCAACTAGTCACGGTAGCTTCGAGATGCTGGTGTACCGTCATTCTGGACTTCTTGTTTTCTAAGCTTGGAGTCGTGACCCTGCGGACTGGACTCCATGACCGAAAGGTGCGTGGACAGGCAAAGAGGAGCTGAAGAGTGTGGAAGCCCGGCTAAGACTACTCGGCTAAAACAAGCGGTCGAGATGAATGTGTGTCAAACCGAATCCCTTCCGGAGTGCGCAATCGTCACGCAGACTCTCAGAGTACATTCCAACCCACCACCGTTCATTCTCCACGAAATCGGCTACAAACCTAGCATGGGAGTGCAGAATTCAAGGTTTGCAACCCTGTATCTCTTCAGAAACCATCAACTTGCAGGATTTGTTTTGGCGACACTGCCATTGCTGTGCTGCCATGCATGCGAGCGACTTGTGGACCTTACCAAATTGTGGAATATTTGTACCTGTTTCTACACGACTCCTCGTCCTCCTGAGCATTCTGCGGATGCGGATGAAAACAAATGGTTTGTTGATGACACGGCTGTTCCGTTAATCTGCTAAGTCTGCTGTTTGCAGGGTGTGTCCCCAAAACTGTTGACGGGTGTAAGGTTTGCCACCTTGCTCTTTGGGTTCTCAGCTTCCATCCTTCTCTCCTTCCATTGTTCTCTCTTGCCTTCCTGCAAACGACCGCAAAACACAGGACCAGGCAAGCCCTGTCTCCGAGCACCAAAAACACTACAGGGATCTATTCTATACACACACCCTCATCAGTATGACATTCCTTTCGCTTGTCCCTTGATGCTCTCGGATCGGCTCGGATCAACGGGGGTGAGTTTCGAAACTAACTTTCGGACGAGGGCCAGGTCAGTTTCGGATCGGGCCCCGGTCATGTTCGGATCGGGCCGAGGTCAGTTCGTCGTATGCTGCGTGCAGGAGGCCTCTTAAAAGAACTTCCTTAAACGATAAACCGTAGAACGACCCTAAACCATCCAAAACTAACACAACCCGAACCCTAAACCCCCCAGAGCCTAAACCCTAAACCCCGGAAAAGCAGCACCTGTTTGCGCTAACCCTTGCATTCTATAGAAGCCCAAGGGTTCAGGGTTTAGGGTCCTCGTATGCACAGCTTTAGGTCCTGGCAATGAGAACGCGCTCGGATTTATTTGTCCTTGTGGGGCCTTTTGAACAACAGGGGCACTTGATTTAGAGGTCCAAAGTTCAACTATGCATCTATATCAGGGTCCCGAAAATGACCAATAGAAACCAGTAACAATATCTTAAACACCTCCCCTCATTTGGCGACTCCGGTTCATCAAGTACCTTAAACACCCCCCCTGTTTGGGCGATTCCGGTTCATCTTGTTTCTTAAACATGCCCCCTAATGCGTCGCTTCCGGATAATCATATATCTCAAAACACCCCCTTCCCCGATTGGGCGATTCTTGAAGTACATCTTAAACCCGTCCCTCCATTGGGCGATTCCGGCGCATAATACATCCTAAACAAGCACCCTCGTTTGGCGATTCCGGTTCATCATATATCTTAAACACGCCCCCTCATTTTGCCGATTCCCTCCATTAGGCGATTCCGGTTCATCATATGGTTGAAACACGCCCCTCAATGGGCGATTCCAGCTGCTCATATATCTTAAACACGACCCCACGTTCTGCGATTCCGGTTCTTCATATGTTTGAAACACACCAATCATTGGGCGATGCCGGTTCATCATATTTCTTAAACATTCCCCCTCAGTTGGCGATTCCGGTTGATCATATATCTTAAACACCCCCCCCCCCACCATGAGATCTTTGCAGAGTTCGTAAGTTCAGCGTTTTGGGGATGTTTAGGGTTTGGGCTCGTGGGTTGAGGGTTGGAGGATATGGGGTTTAGGTTTTGGTTTTATGGGGCATGCTTTATACTGTTTTCATTCCTCCCACTAGCTTTTGGAGCCTTAGCGATGTGAAAATGTTTGGGGCATGATAGTTCGAGGAGCTTTGAGGAATACCATTACGAAGCGCTCCGCCACCGTCGTTGAAGCCCTTTGAAGAACTTCACAAACTCGCTGATGCGAAGAAACCCCATAAGCTCTTTTCAAAAACCAAAGCTCTCTGAAAATCAAGCTGAAGCCTATAACGCCCTTTCAATTGCCAAAAGCTGAAGCGGCTGTTTTGGTTAATGGTTCGCCCGACTTAACGACAAGCTGGCTGATAAAACCAGTGACGGCTAGGTGTAGGCATGTCTGATCTAAGTACCTGACGCTGTGACTGCCACACAGCAGGCCTGACTCAACATGAGCCGTTTGACAATGCCCCAGCGGCAGGGATCCGCTGTTTTGCTTAGTGGTGTGTCGGGCTTAGGGCTGTAGAAAAACCCACCGTCGGCCAGAACAGAAAATGCCCAATCCAAAACTTGTACAAGCAAAAAATTGAGAGAAGGCAAGAGAATACAGTAAAATTCCAAAAACACAAAAAAACCGAAACGAACACCGAAGTGCAAGAAAAGTCCAAAAGCCGTAACAGCACAAAAAGCCAGAAAAGTACAAGAAAACCCGAAACGTCGAAAAGTCAAAAAGCCGAAAAGCCCAAAAAGTCCGACAAGCTCAAGAAACCCAGACAAGTCGCAAAGCCTCTTTCAAAAATGTCCGAAAAGTAAACCCGCAAAGTCGAAAAGTGCAGGAAAACCCGACATGTCAAAAAGTCGAAATGCCCAACAAGTCGGAAAAGCGCAACAGGCCTTTCCACTTTTTGACTTTTCGACATTGTGAATTTCGTTTCGGTTCTCCGCTTATGGAAACCAACGCCTGCTTGCGTACTTAGACCAAATGAGGGGGCGTTGCAAAACACATGATGGACCGGAGTCGCCAAACGAGGGGGCGTGTTCCAGATACATGAGGAACAAGAATTGCCCAATGAGGGGGGGCCGTTTAAGATATATTTTGGGCCGGAACCGCCTAATGGGGGCATCGGCAAATGAGGGAGCGTGTTTAAAATATATGATGAACCGGAATCGCCAAACGATGGCGCGTGTTTAGGATGTACGATGCACCTCAATCGTCCAGTGAGGGTCATGTTTCAAGCATAAATCGCCCAATGGGGCGTGTTTAAGACATATGATGAACCGGAATCGCCAAAAGAGGGTGCTTGTTTAGGATGTATGATGCACCGGCATTGCCCAATTAGGTGGAATCGCCCAGCGGGGGGGACGTGTTGAAGATATGTGATGAACCGGAATCGCCCGATTTGCAGGGCTTGTTTAAGAACATCTGAGCAGCTGCACGACCAGCGCGGTCGGCGACAAGCAGAAGACCAACGGCATCGGCAAAACATGAGAAGGGACCCTGATATATAGATGCTCGTTAAACTTCGGACCTCTAAACCCTAAGTTGTGCAAGAAGCCCCACAAGCACACTTAACTTCGAGCAGGTTCTCATCGCTAGGATCTAAAGCTGTGCATACAAGTGTCAGGACCCTAAACCCGGAATGAACCCTCGGTCTCGTGAAGAATGCAAGGGTTAAACAAGGTGCTGCTTTCCGGCAGTTTTGGCTGTAGGCTTTTGGTTAGGGTTTGGGTTGTGTTAGAGCTTTGGTTGGTTTGGGTCTATCGTCTAACAAAGTTCTTCTAAGTGGCCTACTGCACGCAGCATACGACGAACTGACCTCGGCCCGATCCGAACCTGACCGGGGGCCTGATCCGAAACTGACCCGCGTCCTGAAGCTCTCACCGAAACTGACCCCGAAAACCCTGAAACTCACAACTTCCTGTGCCGGCCGTTCAATGCCATGCTGGTTTGCTTAAAGATGGAAATGCGAGCAGGTGTTCTCAGCGCAAGGCTCCAATTTGTCAATGCGAGCGAAGATCGTCCCCTGCCAGGCAGGCAACGGTTCACTGAAACGATATTCTGGGGAGCGTGCCGTGCGTCGCAATCACCAGTGACAGTTCGTGACTTGCTGTCAGAACGTCCACCTGCCTGCATGGATTTGACGGCGCTCACAGGGTTGCCAGACTCCTTGTCTGCGCAAGACTTAGCCATCCAGTGCCCAGTGCGCAACATGTTCGGTCCTCCCGCTCTTCGGACTTGAATTTGCGGATTACATCCACTGCGCGTTTGCTGCCAAGTAGGAGTGGAATCGTGGAAT